CTCACTACTATGCTTTTATATTGTATTACTGGAATTACTTTAGTTGTTGTGCCCTCAGATTTACTCTGTGCAATGAAATAAATGCCTTTTGAAACATATTACAGCATTTCTGATTTGACCATGAGGTAGTACATCCAGTCAAGAAGTGCCCCTTTTTGTTGTAACGGAATCTTGGTTTATACTAAATCTAAACAATAAAAGACAATAGAGACCCAGAGTGTAATGGCTGCTGTGTTTTTTAGTCAGAGCCAGTCTATCACAGGGCTGAAATGTAGACAAACAACCACACACTCATACTCACTCCTATGGGCAATTTAGAGTTTGATTTGATTTTGATTTGATTTGATTTATTCTTTCTAGATAAGAGTTGCCAGTCAACCAAAGCTGCATGTCTTTGGAGTGTGGGAGGAAGCTGGAGTACCTGGAGAGAACTCACGCAGGCACAGGGAGAACATGCAAACTCCACATAAAAAGGCACCAGGTTAGCCCAGGCTTGAACCTGGAACTTTTGCAACAGTGCTAACCACCGCACCACTGTTCCACCTCTTCACAACATTTTAGAAGCAAACAGTATACTTTTTACACCGCTATATTTATTTGCTAATATAGTGGAACGGTGAAATTCATACATTTGCTCATTATGCTCAATGTTCATATTGTCTCTGTATTTGTGCTGTATAACCTTGATATCTTTTCCTCTCAGAGAGTTCTCCCAAACAGTTCTGTCTCCCAGACACTTCACATAGATTTAGTCTCCACAAAAACAACCATACACACTTCATACACACAGACCCAGTCTCTATTGACACACACATAGCCTCTTACCTACACAGCCCAACTGTCTGGCCCAAGCTGCTTATCTAGAAGATACCTATGAAGGCCACATACCTAAGACACATTTCTGATTGGTTCCAGCTAATGCAGTGATAGCTGACCAATGTTATGCAAAACCTGACTGTAACTTCTCTCCTTTGTCGCTCAATGACTCGTTGCACTGAGTGTGTGATCTCTTGATCAAGATACTGGTATTGTCTTTGTCACGCTCCTGCCCCGCTTGCTTCCTGTCGTGCTTTTATTTTCACATTACTTCCTGTTCTGTTTCACCTCAGTTTTGGCCTTTTTACTTAAATCATCATTAGTTCACCTGCTCCTTATTGTTTGCACCTGTTGTTACTTCTATTTAGGCAGCGTCCTCCCACCAGGATGCTGCCAGATTGTTCTAGACTCCAGCTCTGACTCTCCAGCATTTATACCTTGCCTGACTCTCTGTTTCTGACCTTGGATTACTGTTTTTGACCACCGTGTTTTGCCTATGCCCTCCCAGATTCTGATCGCCTGCAGTGTACCGACCTTCTGATTTAGTTCCCCTTGACCTCTCGAGTTTGGATCTCCTGGCTATACCTGTTTACCGGCGCTGACCCTGGACTGTCTTATCGACCTGATTGTGATCCTGGACTGTGTGTTAGTTGTTTTGGTTGCAACAAGTAAAGAACTTTTCTCTACCTCCGTTTGTCTGGTTTTATAATTGAGTTCACCACAACCTCTATTTGGCATCTATACACACCAAACCTGACAGATGCTTATGCTATTGTTTGATTTGTTTAATAAATTACAGAAAGACTACTTGAGAACCTTTTATTAATTTCCACTTCAGAAAAGCTTAATTACTAGTTACTTTTCAGAATATCATTAACAGAACAAAATACAATATAATTATCCAGTGGCATCTGCAGGATTATATTTCATGGTACACACAAGAATTGCCAATGGCAGCATAAATCTTGTTTAACAAGAAACTTTTCTCATTATGGTAAATGGTCTTATACTTGTATAGCACTTTTCTGTACATTGCAGCACACTCAAAACGCTTTCACACTATCTTGCCATTCACACTCCCAAGCACTCACACATTCATGCACCGGTGACATCACCAGGAGCATGTGGGGGTTAAGTGTCTTGCTCAAGGACACTTTGACATGTGGACTGGACAAGCTAGAAATCAGACCACTAATCTTTCGGTTAAGAGATGACCCGCTCTACCTCCTGAGCCACAGGTGCCCCTATTCATGTTATTACAATATACTCTATTTTCTCGTTTTAATGACATACTGTTGGCTATTTTGTCATTATAACAACATACTGTATTTTCTCATAATAATGTGATCCCTGCACAGCTTGAAGTGAGTGCAGTGTGCACCTCCATAGCTCATTCAGTTCATATGGCTCTTTCTCATCACCACCCTCCCAGACCAACTTCCCACACAGTGACCAACATTGCTCTTAGGAAGTAAGCTCCAGCTGGTCCTTGAGAATCACTGATCTGACACTTAAATTCATGCACAATAATTAGTCCACAAAATAACACATGACTGCAGCTCATGAGTGATAAATAAAAAAATACCCTGCACATGTTCCAATGATGTTGCAGACATTAGTGACAGCAGGTAAAGTCAGTGTGTGGCTGCTGTCACTCCCTTCAAGCTGCAGGGCTCACATTAGGTAGCAGAAATGATGTGACCCACTCTAGGGGTGTGTGATATTATATTAAATAGCTCCTCAGGCCATAAATGTGAAACAATATTTCTTTATAATACAGTGACCACCAGATGCAGTGATGTAAATCACTGCATCCAGTTATCAGAGTAAATTATTTTATTATGGCTGCAGGTGCCACTGTATATATTTTTTATCCTCTCCAGCTACATACATGAGAGGATCGAAAGGTTAGGAACACCTCTGAATATAATGTAGTCCAGTACAACACCACCTTTAACTATGACCTCAATAATAATCATACAGTGGGGCAAATAAGTATTTGATACACCACCAATTTTTCAAGTTTTCCCACTTACAGAGAATGGGCAGTTCTGTAATTTTTTTTGTAGGTACACCTCAACTGTGAGAGAATCTACAAAAAATTCCAGTAAATCACATTGTTAGATTTTTAAATAATTAATTTCCAATTTTTTGCATGAAATAAGTATTTGATCACCTACCAACCAGCAAGAATTCTGGCTCTCACAGACCTGTTAGTTTGTCTTTAAGAAGCCTCCTATCCTCCACTCATTGCCTGTATTAATTGCACCTGTTTGAAGTCGGTACCTGTATAAAAGACACCTGTCCACACACTCAATCTATCAGACTCCAACTTCTCCACTATGGGCAAGACCAAAGAGCTGTCTAAGGACACTAGGGACAAAATTGTAGACCTGCACAAGGCTGGGATGGGCTACAGGACAATAGGCAAACAGCATGGTGAGAAGGCAACAACTGTTGGCGCAATTATTAGAAAATG